CGTTAGACACCCCCTCTCCCTGCCAGCATCCCACTGCCATGGCGACACTGAGCCCCCCAATGCTACTGACACCCCCGACACCCACCCTCACCATGATGCTCCCCCTCCATGCCAGCGATGCCCCTGACACCAGCACCTCCTCACGATGCTCCTCCTCCATGCCAGCGATGCCCCCACTGCCAGTGATGCCCCCAACACCAGCTCCTCCTCATGATGCCCCCTAATGCCAATGACACCACCAGCACCACCACGATGCCCCCTAATGCCAGTGATGACCCCAATGCCTGCACCCCCCACGACGCTTCCACTCCATACCAGCGACACCGCCCAATGCCAGCAATGCCCCACTGTCAGCATCTCCTCACTACATGCCCCCAATGCCAGTGATGCCCTACTAATGCCAGCACCTCCTCACAATGTGCCCCCGATGCCAGCATGCCCTATGTCCTCACAATGCCCCAGAGCCAGTGACATCCCCAGTTCCAGTGATGCCCTCTAAATCCAGTGCTTGATGCCAGCAATGCCCCGATGCTAGCTCCTCCTCACTGTGTCCTGCAATGCCAGCAACGTCCCCCAATGCCAGCACTTCCTCACACTGCCCCTCCGATGCCAGCAACTCCTCAAGATGCCCCCCGGTAGCGACCTCTCCATGCTAGTGCCGCCTCACACGGCCCCTTATGCCAGCCACAATCTCCAATACCAGCACCACCTCACAACACCCCTTTAACACCAGTAACACCACAGATACCTCCCTCAATGCCAATGACACCACCCGATGCCAGCACTGCCCACGATGCCCCCTTGATGGTGGCGATGACCCCTGATGCCAGTATTTCCTCATGATGACCCCTGATGCCAGCAATGACACCCTGATGCCAACACCTCCTCACGACATCCCTCAGTGCCAGTGATGCCTCCCCGATGCCAGCAGCTCCTCACAATGCTCCCCCTCCTTGCCAGCAATGCCCCCTGATGCCAGCACCTTCTGACATTCCCAATGCCAGCAACACCCCCCCTATATCAGCACCTTCTTACAATACCCCCTGACACTGGTGCCTCCTTACAAGGAGCCCCTCAACACTAGCAACGCCTCTGACACCAGCATCACAACACTTCCTGATGCCCCTGACTCCAGCATCGCCTCACAACACCCCACTCAACGCCACCATTGTCCCCCTCAATGCCAGTGCCCTCTCATAATGTCCCTCTTGATGTAAGCAACACCCCCATGCCAGCACCCCATCATGATGACCCCTCAAATCCAAATTTCCTGTCCTGATGCCCTACCTCTAGGCGAGCACCCCCTTGCAATGCACCCCTCAGTGCCAGCAATACTCCCTCTCCAATGCCCCCTCAATATCCTCAACACACCCTGATGCCAGTATCCCCTCATGACGCCCCCTCTCAATGCCAGCAATGCCCCCTCAAGACAAGTACTTCCTTGTGACAGGCCCTTGTGATGCCAGTGACCCCTCGCACCAGTCCTCCTTGACACCAGCAATGCGCCCCACATCACCAGTGCCCCTCACAATGCCCTGTTAGTGCCAACAATGCTAGCTGCACTGCCCTTCATGCCTCCGAGGCCCCTCTTCAACACCAGTGCACTCTCACAATGCACTTCTTGACTCCAGCAGCACCCCCTTGATGCCAGTGATACCCCTTCGCGTCACTCCCCACCACCAGCGATAGCCCCTATTGTTGTCAGTGCCCTCTCACAATGCCCCCCCTGTTGCCACCAGAGCTCCTCACCACTAGTATCCCCTTGCAGTGGCGAGGTGCTCCAAGCCTGTAATATTCTAGGTTGACATGACAATGTCTTGTTGGGCAGAGCACAATGTGAAGACCATGAAGCTGTGTTATGTGCGAGCCGTGCTTAGACCATGGTAATCTCAGAGAATTCAGGACAGGGGCCATGTTTGGACTAGGGTCCCTTTGGCCAGTTGACAGAATCCCCCATCCATCTGGAGTCTAGTGTGCTCTCTGTTATCACAGCCAAAAATCAAACCAGCACTCTTGTGGTCCACAGGTTGCTGGAATCACTATTGGGTAGAATTGCTACCAGCCACTCTGAAATTTACAAGGACTTATAGAGGACTTTGGGCATCCCGGATGTTAAGACCAGGAATATAGGAATGTATACTAGATCAGAGCCCTGGGACATCTAATTCAGTATCCTGGGTGACAGTGATAAATAGTTGATGCTTCAGAGGAAGGTACAAGAAACATAGTAGCTGACAATATAAAATAACTTTCTGTCAAGTTGCCTTTAACTCTTGTTGACTTGTCCAGTGAAACAAAATAAATGCAGCATCATAACATGTTTTTGACACGATACAACCCTCCACTTGTCCCCTTCCCCAAAAAATTGTAGCCTGGAATGTCATCCCTGATTCCTAATGCCACACAATCTGCCTGTACTCCTCCAAATCCCTCCTAATATCCCACATCTTTACATTTTCCGCACTCCAACAATTGCTTGATAGAGCAGTAGGGCTGGGGGAGTGCAGGCAGGAGCCAGCGGCGGCTGGCTATGTGTCACCTCTGCTGCCCACCCATTAGCCCTTTACGTGCTTCCCCTCTTGCTGTCCTCTCCTTGCTTTGCCCCTTCACTCCCCCAGCCCTACTGCTCCTCCATATCCCCCCCCGTGGGGCGCTCCCAGCACTGTGCAGAGAACCAGCCCCTGGTTGGAGTGCTCAGCTCACCAACAGCCTGGCCGGTAGGCTCCTTCCTTCCCCCACTACCTCTGGCTGGGCAGGCACCCCAGGAAAACCCAAGACCCTCTGGCCCGGAGTGCTGGCCAGGAGGAGCCGATCCCTACATGTGCCAAAGCCCCGCACAGTGTTGGCACGGGGAAGCCTCTCAGCTAAGTTCTGGAGTGGTGAAAGGAAGCGATTTCTAGCCTGTTTATGTCTCGAACCTGCAGGTTCCACAGTATCCCCCAGGGCAGGGGCTTAGCACCCTCTTCGCCCACCCCTCCCTCTGGGTCCTGCCCTCAGGGAGCACGGGACTGCTCCATCCACTAGGCACCCTCCTCTGCTGAGTCACTTCTCTGGCTGGGTTCGCTGACGCCCCTGCAGTCAGGTTTCCTGGGCCCTGGTGCACAATGCATCCTTAGGGCTTAACCACTTCCTCCCAGTACCCCCCCTCCTTCTGCCCTGTGACTGGAAGCAGCTCCCATGCCTTCCCTCCCGCACAGGGCCAAAACGTTGCTGCTGGCCACATTCTGGTGTGAACCCTGGAAGAAATCGGGGGGGAGGGGCATGTGACCCTGCATGCCCCCCACATGAGTTGTCTCGGGAAGACCCGGTGCTAGGTACCAGGAGAGGTGGGTCCATCCTGGGGGCCCAGCCAAGCATGCAGGTTGAAGAGTGCCGGGCAGGGAGGGTCGGGTTGGTCGGTCACCCCCACTGTGTGAAATAGGAGTACGGGAGTGTGTGCGTCACCCCTCCTTCTGTGTGTGTTTGGAGGGGGGTAGGGGTGTGTGTGTCACCCCTCCCCGTGTGAACTCTAAAGCCTTAAAGGTAAGAAGGTAAATAAAAAGAATCCAATTACACAGTATTTCTTTTTAACAGGGGCTCAGTCAACTTGATGCTAATTTGAACATTTATACGATTGCCATTGAATTTATTTGAATATAAGTAATTTTACCAGTTGTCCCATATTCAGCATAGGGAAATATGGTCATCCTAACATTAACCTTTAAAGGAAAACTGACAAGATGCATATATTGGAGTACCAAACAGATTCATAACCTTTTGTGCATGTCAACCTCTTTTTCTACCTTCATTACTTGATGTTCCTATTATGTATCAAAGCAAGGCCCCAATGATCACATTGGATATATATGGGCAAACCCTTGCACCTGCACAGAGAGCCCTATTCAGATTTGCAATGATTCAGTGTATTTCTGTATTACTAGTGCTAAGATCCTACATTATTCATTAAAATAGGGCATGACAAATCCAGAAACAAATTACACATTTCTGTTCATTTTGTAATCAAATGGAAGATTTTGTCTATATTGTTAGTCAGAATGAGGATAATTTAATTTAAATTGTTTGATATTAATGTTGTTCTGTTCTTTGAAATCAACAGGGCCAAGCTGTGAAAGTCTCCTGGGGTCACCAGCCTATATTCTTGAGTTGGATGGAAATCAGACATCATGGTCACCATGGTGAAAATATTGCTGAAATTAACAGACACCTAGCAGAGAAACTTGGCATTGCAGAAGGAGAGCAGGTTTGGAATGCACTTTAAAAAAAAAATCTGAAGGAATAATGCTTTACAGTTTAGGCTACAATCATGCAACCTGTTCCATGCAGGCAGACAGATCCCCACTGTCTTCGCTGGGGCTGTATGTGGTAAGAGGTGTCCACTCACATGGAATAAATTGCAGGAGTTGGGGCTTAAGCCCCAGTCCTGCAAAGATTTACCCACTGAAATCAATAGATCTACTTACAGGGTGTACAGTTAAGTATTTGGGTAGGTCTTTGCAGGATTGAAGTGTGAGTGTGTAGTGAAATGTTAATTTAAAGGAAAAGTATTTTTAAAAGAAATAAAACAAGTTTGGAATTTTCTCATGGTAATTGTTTGTTTTCTTCAGTTCTTGTCATTTTGTTTATAATTATGAACTTATTCCTAACTCGTTTGACATTCTTTCTGCCCTGAGACTTCGACTCATTTCTCCTTGTACACATGTTGCCGATTGGCTGTAAAAGGATCTGGCTTTCCTCACTGTTAGACCAGGTGCTGTAGTTCTTCTTGTGACTCCTGTTACAAAGAGAAGTTGGACAGGTGCCCAGGAGACAGTACACAGTCAAAGTTTTGTCCATCATGTGACTGTAAATCTTTCAACAACACAGTGTTTTGGTTATAGTGGGTGGACAATTAAATTAACATGGGCAGAAAAGTATTACTTCACACACAGCTGTTCTAAGTGTATTTCACATATGATAAACTTTATTTATAGAAAGAATGCACAGCAGGAAACATTTTAGGTCAGGCAGTGTGACACCTCCACTTGTTTGCTTTTGGAAAATCATTACTGGAAAGCTAATGGTTATCCGACCACTGGACTATAAAACATCTTGTTGGGTCAACAGCAGAAGTAACTGGAAAATTTGTATGACATTGTATAGCTGCCGGAGTGGTTATTTTAATCTCAACTGGAATTGTTTTATCCTGACTCTAGATACAATAGTTAAGAAAAGTAGCCCATAGAATATTGTGAAAATCTGCCATTTTCCTACTGTTCACAAGATAATGATATTGGCTCTGCTGATGAGATCTAACTAGATTAGGGTACTGTTGCCCCCCTAGCTGTAGTTGTGGCCAGATTTTTACACATTTATGCTTATTTAAGATATACAAATGCTAAATAAAGAAATAAATCCTCACAATTATCCTGTTAAAATCTGGAAATTACTAGCTCACAGAAGAAAGTCCTTATGAGCAACCTTCAGATCCTAGAAAAAATTCACCAAATAAATAAAGTCTTCTGTCCTATCAAAGGAACAAATTTAAATAGAT